TTCAAAAGAGCTTCAGGTAAATGAAGAAATCCCGAGGCGTTACAGCACAGGACACCGTTTCTCACGTCCAGGACGTGCTGCAACCTGATTTTAACATAACTTTGCAACAGTTAAAAAAAAAAAAAAAGAGAAAAACCTAAAATAAAAAGTCCAAGATTACACAAACCAAGCCTATGATTGCCTTTTTCATAAGAGAACAATGGTTGCAGAAATCTGGACAAACTGCTTTTCTTATCAACATCAGAAAATCTAAATAATCATTTTCACCCTTTTCTTTTTTTTTTTTTTTTTTTTTAAACATTACCATCCTTATGATTTACAAAACCTCATTCATGTGAATTAGCCTTTTTTTTTTTTAAGTATTCATTTAATTTTTTTTAACCATTTGCAGTATTTTGCTTGTGAAAATGTGGTTTTCCTGTACAGCAAATCTAATGTTTTCATGCCTTGCAAGTGGACCAAAGAACTGCTATTTTCAGCCCTGGTTTGATCATTTGATCTTAATTTGTACTCAAAAGAGGAACCACAAAACTGTTTTAAAAGACAGCCAATACAAACCAAATGATTTGGCTTATCTTTAAACAAATGTATAAATAAAGAGACATAGCACAACCACCTTAGAAGAGGTCAAATTAAACATTTTGTTTTGCAAATATAAGAAATAAAATGCACTTTAATACGGTAAAATACATTTGAATGAGCATAGTTTACTGGGAGTTTGTGTAAATGTTATTATCTGTAATTAGCCAATACTGAAGTGCTCTGGAAAATGTTCTACAATTAAATTGAGTTAGTTTTTTCCTTTTTTTAAAGCAGTAACCCAGTACATCCTCCACCTTTGCTGGTAAAGTAAAACCAGTTCTGTTGTGTCATCGTGAGTCTGCAGCCTGGAAGAGGAACTAACTGTTAGCATCACAATGAAATAGTATTTCTGCACATAGTTCCTCATTCTGACGCATTGAGAAAGGTGAACTTTTCCTCATTAGTTCCTGATACAAACCAGGAAGGTGCAAATAAAAAAATAAAAAAACTAATATCACAATATCTCCTGTTGCATGTTAATACACTTTAACAGCAGTCTGAAGGTTTATCTCAAACCCGTTTACATTTTCCTATGAATGTTGAATGAATGAATGAATGAAAAACAAACTGGTGGCTTACGGAATACCTTTTAAAACAACTAATATAACTTTTAATAGGATGAGCAAATGCACTATTGTAGCTAGCATGGTTATCTGGAAGCTAACAGGAGAGATTAGGCAACATTAGGAACAAGCTGTGGGATTATCAGACCCTAAACTTTAGCTACTGACCAGTAAATCTGTGGAAAAGCAATATTAGTTAATTAAGATGACATTTACAAAGCTAAAATAGTTTGGCCTGGCTAGTAGGAGCTAAATTCAGGCTCACACCCACTTCATGATGCCGACCTTTCGGTCAGTGACATTAAAAGCTGGATTCTTCCTGGTCAGTTTGTTAGCATGCTAGCTAAGCTAACGTTAGCATGTAGTGGATATGTTTTTTTTCCGTTACCGTTAAAGTCTCCCGTGTCCGCCACCACCACGGTGAACTTCTTCAGCTGGTTCAGGGCTGACTCCATCTTCCTCCGTTTGTCTGGTGACACGTTAGACATGATGTGCGCGGACTGGGAGCCTTTTTATACGCAGAAAACACGTGAGTTAGACGGAATTTCAGACCGCGGGAGCGCGCTTCGGAGGAGGAAGGAGGAACCGTGACCGCGCGCGTGGCCGTTCGAGGAAACAAGTGTTAAAGAACGAGGAAATGTATACAGTATATATATTATATACAGGACTGTCTCAGAAAATTAGAATATTGTGATAACGTTCTTTATTTTCTGTAATGCAATTAAAAAACATGAAATATCATACATTCTGGATTCATTACAAATCAACTGAAATATCACAAGCCTTTTATTTTTTTAATATAGCTGATTATGGCTTACAGCTTAAGAAACCCAAATATATCTGATTTTTTAGTTTTCTTCAGCTGTACGCCATAACTCTCACAGGAGCCCTCACAAACTGGTCAGAATATCATTTACTGTCCCGGCCTCTTGACCATGTGCTGGCCAATAGTTGGGTTCTCCACCTGGGGTCTATTTGGAAACCATAACCAGTGCCAGATTCAGACCAGCATCTGTCGGTAGTAAACACCGTGCACGTGCATTTGATTCCAGGCTGAGGGTTTTTCTTCCAACACTTGAGTGGAGCCTCTAAAACCTCCCATAACCTCCCATCACTGGAGTCCATCTGCTAAATGTTCTCCTCAATCTGTGTTGGTTCATCCTGGATAACTCTCTCCTGCTTAATGTACAGTTGTTTTATTGTTCGTCAAAACGATAACTTTGCAAATGTTTTGTATACAATTATTGAACTCTATAATGCCAAATGTGTCATATTTGATCCGGTTTCTGAAGTCTTTTGGATGTGAAACTTTTTGCATCATTCAGTGGTAAAAGCTTTGCTCAAACCCCTGTTGTACACATTCAGATATACCTGATAACAGCCAGTAGAAGACCACACCAACATATATTTTTGACTTATTGCACGCTAATTTGATCAAAATAATTTCAGTTTTTTTTCTTCATATGTTGTTTAGGGGCCAAAGAAAGACTTCAGACTAAAAAAATCCAATATTCTTCCTATTTTTCTTGGATCAGGCTTTAAAGGGTTAAAGCTGCTTTTTGGAGGCTTTTTAAACTGTTTTTTGTGCTGTTTTGGGGGTCTTAACCCTATAAAGCCAAATGTGTCATATTTGATACGTTTTCTGAAGTCTTTTGGATCTGAGACTTTTTGCATCATTCAGTGGTAAAAGCTTTGCTCAAACCCCTGTTGTACACATTCAGATATACCTGATAACAGCCAGTAGAAGACTACACCAACATATAGTTTTGACTTATTGCACGCTAATTTGATCAAAATAATTTCTGTTTTTTTTCTTCATATGTTGTTGAGGGGCCAAAGAAAGACTTCAGACTAAAAAAAATCCAATATCAACAAGGAATAAGCAGATAATGTATTAATGGAAGGTCACATATGAGAAACCGTGTTGTGATCGTATGTCTGTCTTTGTGTTTTTCAAAGATTTTTGTTGGTTTTCATTTTGTTTTACACTGTTTGTATACTATGTGATTCTGGTTTGAATCCCAGTTAGGGGATTTCTGTGTGGAGTTTGCCAAAGAAAGACTTCAGACTAAAAAAATCCAATATTCTACCTATTTTTCTTGGATCAGGCTTTAAAGGGTTATATAAATTATCGCAATGAAAGATGACTGTTTTTATTTGTACGGACAGACAGTGGGTCTTGATATTTAGGATATTTTTTTTAGGACAGAAAGATCTATAGGATTAACAGACTTGTGACTATGAACTTTTCACCTCTTTTGAGAATAACTGAACGTTGCATGAAAAAGTTAATAAGTAAAGATCTAATTATACAAATAGAACACAATCCGCAGAGCACTTTAACAATATTCTATTAAATAAAAATGACTTTTATTGCTTTATTATGTGTTCAATTGTATCTAGACACTCTCTCTTGGCAGGTCTTACGGCCCCTCAGCACACTTCTGCCTGAACATAAGTCTTATTTGCAATAAAAAGGGCACAGTTTAATTCCAGGAGCCATTACAGACCGTGCTAGCTCCTTTTTTAGTAATCGGCAACTGTGCCTGGATTTGAAGGAAATACATCAGCTTCCAGGGTTTAGCAGCACGATGACTCTCGTGTACGTTTATGGCCTTGTGGGGCTCTTTTATATGCACGGTTTTGTTTCACAGAATCTCCCGTTAATGGGAGGAACACTGATAAATGGCAGCCCGGCCCTAAAACACTGGAAATAACAGTAACACTGTGATTTTTCCTAAAGGAGCCCCCTCCTAAAAACAGTTAGCCCTTTAAAGCCTGATCCAAGAAAAATAGGAAGAATTTGGGATTTTTTTAGTCTGAAGTCTTTCTTTGGCCCCTCAACAACATATGAAGAAAAAAAAACAGAAATTATTTTGATCAAATTAGCGTGCAATAAGTCAAAACTATATTTTTCTTGAAAAAGAGATTCGGAATCTCAATGGGACTTCCTGGTTAAATAAAGGTTGAATTAAAAAATTTAAAAAAAATTTTGGGTGTAGTCTTCTGAGAAGAACATTTGGCATTATAGGGTTAAGACCCCCAAAATAGCAAAAAACAGGTTTAAAAGCCCCCAAAAATAGTTTTAAAAGCCCCCCAAAAAAGCTTGAAAAGCCCCAAAAATTGCTTTAAAAGCTCCCCAAAATAGCTTTAAAAGCTCTAAAAAACTGCTTTAAAGGCCAAAAATAACTTTAAAAGCCCCCAAAAAACAGCTTTAACCCTTTAAAGCCCGATCCAAGAAAAATAGGAAGAATATTACTGTTATAAAGGCCCCCAAAAATAGTTTTAAAAGCCCCCAAAAACTGCTTGAAAAGCCCCCAAAACAGCTTTAAAAGCCCCCAAAATAGCTTTAAAAGCCATAAAAAAGCCCTATCCAAGAAAAATAGGAAGAATATTGGATTTTTTTTTGTCTGAAATCTTTCTTTGGCCCAAAAACAAAAAATTATTTTGATCAAATTAGCGTGCAATAAGTCAAAAAAATATTTTGGTGTAGTCTTCTACTGGCTGTTATCAGGTATATCTGAATGTGTACAACAGGGGTTTGAGCAAAGCTTTTACCACTGAATGATGCAGAAAGTCTCAGATCCAAAAGAAACCGGATCAGATATGACACATTTGGCATTATAGGGTTAAGAATCACTGACCTCCATAAACAGATTTACGAGTCTGGTTTAACCTCTGTGTGGTTGGAAGTTTACACTTTTGAATAAAACATGTGTGTGAAGGATCCTCTGAAAATCCCTGCACACCAAGAACAAAAACAAGGATACACGGGAACAGGAATTTCTTTATATGAACACCGTTTGCCACTTTATCCTCTCATGTGAGTTAAATGTGAACCACAAAGACGGAAAAAGGACACAAACAAGATTCAGAAAGACTGAGGTATCAGTCTCTGATACCAAATGTATTGATAGAGAGGGATTTTGTGAGCTTAAGAGGAGATTTAGACACGTCTATTTCTGCCAATAACACTAATCATTGATCATTTACACACAATGTGGGAAAGCAAAAACAAGTCTTTTAGTAAATATTTGCCGTAAAGAAATTGGTCAAGAGGCAAAGCATTTGCTGGAAACCTCTAATTTGGTTTATTATTCTTGTTAAAAAGGAAAAAAACAATGAGCAAAAATCAGTTTTAGATCAGGAAAAAGAAGAAAGTGGAACATATAAGTGACTCCAGCAGCTCTCTGCCAACAGGAAATTGTGTTTTAAAACAATGTATATGTTAATATCAGGAATCATCCCTGACATATGCAAAAGAAAAGCTAATACCATCATGATTTTAATTCCTTTTTGGGGCTTAAACAGTTGCTGAGTTAGCTTCTCTCCAGGGCCGGATCTGCCTTCATCCATTAAATAAAACAAACAAAAAAGTTATTTACCAAAAAAGACAAAAATGGAGTTCTCACACTGTCAAAACATGCAGAAGAAAAAAAA